GGAGGGGCGGGGGCAGTGGCCTGCTGGGCAGCACTGGGCTATCTGGCCCCCTCTGCCTGCCAGCTGTCCTCCCTAAGCTGGGGAGAGCCCCCCACAGGGCCCTAGTGGAGGCTCATGCATCAGATCCATCCAGGAGGTGGTGAGGTACAGCAAGAGGCAGGGAACACAAACTTACATTTGTTTAAAACCATACCAGAATTTGGCCCAACATCCCCCAAAAAACAATCCAGAGCCCAGAGCGGGCCCTGGCAAGTGTTCTGTGTGGTTACGGTGTCAGCCCGGCACCAAAGGGTCTGGTCAAGGGAACATACCTGGGTTGCAGGTTTAACGCCCAGCCTGGTTGGTATGTATGCAGGAGGCATCCAATCGATGTGTGTGTGTGTGTGTGTGTGTGTGTGTGTGTGTGTCTCATTCTTTCTCTGTCCCCTCTCCTCCTGTCCTTCCACTTTCTCTAAAAATCAATGGAAAAAATACCCTCAGGTGAGGATTAACAAAAAGAGAGAACAGAGTGGAAACCTACTCACTTGGTTCTGGGCCCAGGAAGGCTGCTGCTGGACCACCTCGTGCGAGGAAACCCTTCTGTGACTGTGGAGAAGCAGAATGGGCGGTGACATTTATGATGGGGGCCTCCCTGAGACATGACCCTCAGCCCGAGCCACCCATTCCACCTTGGAGCTGTTCTCAGGCCACCAGAGGGCGCCCAGACTCTGTGCAAACCGGGAACACACACCTGGTGGCTGGCTGGGGTTTCTGCCTGCTCCCCACCGCCACCCCACACTCCCAGCGAACACCTTCTAAACCCACCTCCTTGCATGGGGCCCAGCCCTGTCTGTCTTATACATTCCAGCCCTTGTCTGGGCCTTCGTCCCCGTACCTGCCCTGAGGCACAGAGGCCCTGAGCTCATAGGGGACCCCCGACCCTGGGCAGCGCCCCGGGTCCCGTGGCACCAGCCATTCTCACCGTCACTGTGGGCCCCCTCCCCACCCTCGCTGCGCTGCTGAGGCTCCTTGTGACCCTGCCAGCCTCCCGCAGCCCAGGCCTTCCTGTTGGCCCCCATGACTGGGTCTCCTTTCTCCCCACACAGGGCGGTGGCAGCGATGACACGGAGCTGCGGTACTCGTCCCAGTACGAGGAGCGCCTGGACCCCTTCTCCTCCTTCAGCAAGCGGGTGTGTGAGCCTGGCCTCGGCCAGGCAGGGCAGGGACGTCTGGAGAACCCACCCTCACCTGGCCTCAGCCCTCCCTTCCTCCCCCCTCCACCAGCCACCAGGCCCCCTGCACGCCCACTTGGGTGCCATGGAGGCCCAGGGTCCATCCTGGATGGGCCCAAAGCACCCAGAACACCTGCCTGATGGCTCTGTGAGAGTGTGACAGTGACTGGATTAACCCCACGTGTACACTCGGGGGTGGGGGGCAGGCAGACAGGCAAAGAGCTCCCAGTGTCAGGTGACCTGTAGTATACCCTGCCCCCCAATCTATGTAACTCCCTCCCCCACCTTTCAGGCCACTGAAGTCCTGCCCTTAAAGACTCCCATAGGCAGAATGGGCCACCACAGAGAGCAGGAGGCAGCTGTCTCTGGGAGGACATCACACAGAATAGGACTGGGCACCGGGGCGGCCCTTGGCATTCTGCAGGAGCAGCAGGGCAGGGTCCCTTTCTGCAGTGAGCTCGGCCGGTGGGGTCCTCTGGGGCCCTCTCATTATCCCTTCCACTTCAGGAACGGCAGCGGAAGTACCTGAGCCTGAGCCCCTGGGACAAGGCTACCCTCAGCATGGTGAGTCCCCTCCTGGGTGCCCACCTGCTCTGGGCCGCCAGAGACACCAACCCTGACAGGCCACCTCATCACCTGCCATCCAGTCTGGAGAGGCCTCCAGGACCTCACTGACCCCTCCCAGGCCCTACCAAGCGTGGCTGTGTGACCCAGAACACGGTCCCCTCCCCCCTCTGGGACAGCTCTTCTCGTGGTAGATTCGGGAATCCTGCTGCCAGGGATGCCATTCTTTAGGATTCCTGTGGCCCAGATTCCTGGCCTGTGCAGTGGAACAGGAGCCAACTGCCTGCCCTTCCCTCCCCTTGCTGCCCCGAGGCCTACCCTGCAGGAGCCAGGGCAGCCCTGCAGGAGTGGGTGAGGCCTGTCCCACTCCCCTCCACACCTTGCTTTCTCCTCAGGGGCGGCTGGTTCTCTCCAACAAGATGGCACGCACCATCGGCTTCTTCTACACACTGTTCCTGCATTGCTTGGTCTTCCTGGTGGGTGCCGAAGCAGTGGTCAGGGCTGCATTCATCATGCTCCCTTCACCTCCAGGGCAGAAGGGACCCAGGCCGTCCCCAAGCCCCACCATCTGCTCTTGGCCACTTCTCTCCCCTTCAAGGGCCTCAGCCCAGCCTGGGGATGACAAGCCCACCCACTGGGCCCTCGGGGAGAGGCCTGGCGGCTCCATCCGGGGCCCAGTCCTGGACGGGCTTGGTGAAGGGAAGGGCTACCGTGGGAGTCTGAGGAAGGCAGGAAAGAGGGTCTTACTAACTCTACTAAGGGTCAGCCAGGTGGGCTGCACACAGAAGGGACGTCCTGTTAGTGGCACAGCACAGAGGCCTCATGATGCCTGCATGTCCACTGTCTGGGAAGAGAATGTGGGGTGCACCCACGGAGGGCTCCGGCCTCAGATCCTACCCCCAGTGAGGCCATAGGCCAGTGGCCCCTGTCTGAAGTCCGCTCTGACCCAGGGCCCGGCAGGGGTACACCCAGCATGTTAGGGATGATGCTTCCAGGTCCAGGCCTATCTGACCATCTTGGAAACAGGCGGGCACAGAAGCATCTCTAAGGCCCACAGCCTGGGGTCTGGGCCCTGAGAACTGTCCCAGGGCTGGAGGTGGCTGCAGGAGTGCCTGTGAGGCAGGACGGGCAGCTCATGGTGTCTCCGCCTGGCCAGGTTCTCTACAAGCTGGCGTGGAGCGAGAGCGTGGAGAGGGACTGCACCACCTTCTGCGCCAAGAAGTGAGGATGCCCTGAGCCCCCTCTCCCCCCCACGGCCCCACACTCAGCAGCACCACTGAGCTCCTCCCCTGTTCCCTGTCCCCCAGCCTTCCGCCATCGCCCCCACTCTGGTTCACCTCACAGCCCCCCAATATGCCTGCTGCCCTCATCCCCCACCCCATCACATGGTGCACAACCCTGGAGATTTCTATGCCTTCCCCTCCCACCCACCGCACACGCGTGCACACACACACACACACACTCACTTCTCTCCTTTTTACACTCAGCCACAGCAGAGGTTTCTGTGTCCCACAGGTTTGCCGATCACCTGCACAAGTTCCACGAGAATGACAACGGGGCAGCAGCCGGTGACTTGTGGCAGTGATGTCTCGGGGCCTCCCCACTCACAACAGCAATGATTGCATTCCCCACCCCTGCTTATTCAGCTGCTTCTAATGACTAGGCTTCCCTAGAAAGTCCCCCATGGAAACTGCCCTTGCCCTCCACCAACAGTACCAGAGGTCCTAGTCCCCTTGGGCTCCCTTAAAATGATGTCTCAGCCACTTCAGGCCTCCTCGGTCCAGAAAGTCCCATGGCCCAGCCAGGCTGAGCCACATGGGTCTCTCAGCCCCATCTCAGGCTGTGATCTGGCCTGGGCCCTGCCCAGAGCTTGACCTCTAGCCCTGGTAGCAGGGATGCTGTGACACTGTGTTCCACTATTTCTGGCCATGGTTAAACCAGTTGGGATCCCCTGGGACCCATCACCACCTCCCAAGATGTAGGGGACCCTTCCTTACAGGCCAGGAGTCTTTGAGTCCATCCCCCCAGCCCACCTTGGTCACACTCTACCCCACCCCCAGACCCACCATGATTTTTGCTTTATTATTTAGCAGGTATTCTGGCTTCTAGGTGAGGAGTCTGCAGTGAGCACACCCCATGCCAGGGGCTCTTCAGACCCAAGGACTGGTCTGACGGGCCCAGGTGCTTCTTGGCCAAGCAGAACATCGTAGCATGGCCACCTTGGGCCACTGACAGATCTGCCTGTTAAATTTGCACTTGCGTGTCCAGCTTTGAATAAACATATGGTTGCAGCCACACTGGTGCCCGTGCCCTGTGACTGGGGATATGAGAGTCTGGTGGGGTCTGGCACTGCCCCTGACACAGAAGGTCTCTCCCCTTGTCTGCCCAGGAATTCCATGACTTGGTTCAGAGCTTGCTGAAACCCAAACCCACAGTGTCTGAGTTCTCTTGAGCAGACCAGTAACCCAATCAAAAAGAGAAATCCATTCCTTTAAAAAAAAAACAAAAAACAAGGCATTGGTGGGTGTGGTCCAGTAGTTAGAATGTCAACTCCCACACTGAAGAGTCTCCGGTTTGATTCCCGGTCAAGGGCATGTAACTGGGTTACCCTAGCCCCTGTCAGGGTGCATGCAGGAGGCAACCAAGTGATCTCTCTCTCTCTCTCTCTCTCTCTCTCTCTCTCCCTCCCTCCCTCCCTCCCTTCCACTCTCTCTAAAAAAAAGCAATGGAAAAAATTTCCTGTGGTGAGGATTAACAAAAAACAAACAAAAAATCAGACTGTGGTTGAATGTCTGTGGTTGAATGTGTGACGTGTGTTGGATGTGTGACATCAGCTCCTGGGGAACCCCTGCATCCTTCTGTGTGTCCTGGAGCCCTGCTCTCGTGTCACTTCATGTCTCTCCCTTGGGGTCTGCTTGCCACACACTGTGGAGCCCATGCCCGCCAAGCCCCCCGAGTGCCAGCCTTGCATAGGGACACCTCTGGGCCATAGGTTCTGAGCTGCCAGGCCCCCAGCCCAGCCCCACTCATGTGGGTCCCACCCACCCACACTAGGAGCTTCCTCTTAATCTGTGGTGATTGGCATTCACTCACTGGCCAGGTGGCCTGAAATGCTGGCTCCATACCCAGCTTCTACCCTGCAGCCCACCTGGGCAGAGTCCCCTGCGCTATCCCTGTCTCAGTCCTGAACACTCTAGAACTTGTACATCCAGGGCCCTCACCTTGGGATCCTACCCCAGAACCCCTCATTATCTGCCCCATCACAGCTTCCTCCAAGACCCCAAAGCCTGCCCTCAGGGACCCCAGGTAGACCTATCCTGCCTAACCCTCATTCCTGTCCCCATGACAAAGATGCTCCTGGCCAGTCAGCCTCTCCCCTCCTCCTTACCCCAGCCACTTCCACATTTCCCACTACTAGTTCCTCCTTGTACGTCAGAGTCACTAAACAGCTGGCTCCTCCTCACTTCCTCCTCCCTGGGGATCAGACGTACTGTCCTACCCAGGGTTCCATACCCAGGACCCTCTCTGGCCAAGGACAGCCCATCAGTGGATCTCAGCCCACTACTCAGAACCAGGTTAGTCCACTGGGGCCAGGTTCTCCCATCGCCCAGGAGGGTGGGTCCACAGCCCCAGCACCCACTTATCCTCGGACAGGCAGTCATCCTCCCACCCTTCCCATTTCCACACCCTCCCAGCCTCATTCCTAGGGCTCCTGGTTCCCAGCCAGGCCTCCAGGCCAGTGTGCAGCTACAATGCATGGCTGGCCCACGCCTAAGCTTTCATTCAATATTTTCTGGCCATATCCTGCCGAGAGAGCAGCTGGTATGTGTGTGGAAGGGAAGGGGCTAGGCTCCAGGGCTCAGACAAGACCTGCCTTGCTTCAGAGCCCAAGTGGAGGGCAGCCCAGGGCTGGTGGGCAGGAGGTCCAGGCAGGGCTCCAGGCTAGTCTCCACCTTCACTAGCCCACCTTTCCTCTCTAGGCCCCATGCTTTCCATCCACCAGACTGAGATTTAAAAAAAAGAACCTTCCCTGCCTGTCCTGTTTCCTGAAATTAGATGTGAAATGGCTTTGGGAAAGGTTAAGGGCCCTCTACACGCGTCAGAGGTCCCTAAGGGTGGGAGAGAGCAACAGATGGAGGCCCTCCCTGGCAGGCCACAGAACTGCCAGCGGTAGGGCTGCAGTGAGGGCAGGGAAAAGCTGATATGCCTGTAGGAGCTGAGGGCTGGGGCAGGAGGGAGAAGAGGGGAGAACCACCCTCCCAGGAGCAAGCACTTCACTTCCATACTTCTGTTTACATGGGCTGAGCTTCCCTCTCTTCTCAGACCCCTTCCTGCCTGCTAGAGTCCTCCACCTCTTCTGGGAGGTCTCCTGGAGGCCCCCACGGGGCAGCCCACAAGTGCCCACAAAGGCCAGCAGGAGTCTTTGTTTTCTTAGCCAGGCTGCTCTCTGCCCTAAGCTAAGCTCTGGTTCGGGGGCTGTGGGGGCTGCGGAGCCCTGTCAGCCCCGGAGCACGTAGGACGGGGTGGGGCAGGGCCGGGAGAGGTGAGGACCCACTCCCGTCGCCCCTGCCCTGGCCCCCGGCGATTTCCGGCAGCCGGCGCTGGAGGGAGGGGGCGTGGCGCTCAGCCTCGGGATTTATGAGAAGTGGACGTCAACTTCCCGGCCTGTGACATCTGCGCCTCCGCGAGGCTCCCATTGTCCTGAAGGCTGAGGGTCTAGGGCAGTAGCGACCTCCGCCGGTTGACTGTCACCAAGGGGCGTCCACGTCCCAGAGGCCCCACCAGGCAGGCCACCCGCCGGCCCCCACTCGCCACGCTCCCGGAGCCACCACTCGGGGCTCCGAGGGGCGCTCCCACGCCGGGAGATCCCGACGCCTGGCCTGGGGCCGGCTCCGGGAGACAAGGCGGCCGCGTAGTCTCGCGCAAATGGGACGGCGGCAGGCCCTTTCCTGACCCCTCGGGCCCCAGGACCGCGTCGCCCCGCCACTGCCGCTGCCCGGAGTGAGTGAGCACCAGCCGCGGGTACAGCTCCGGCTTCGCCAGGGGGCGCGGTGGGGGCGAGGCTGGAGGCGGGACCCGCGCCGGGGGCGGGGCCTGGGAGGCTGGAGGGGGCGGGGCGGGAGGCTGGAGGGGGCGGGACCCGAGCCAGGGGCAGGGCCGGGGGCGGGGCCGGGGAGGCGGGCGGGGGGCCCGAGGGGGAGCGGGCGGGGCGCGCGGCGCGGAGCTGGGCTCCAAGTGCGCGGGGCTTGGCCGCCGGGAGATCCGAGCCGAGGCCGCGCTGGGCCCGAGAGGAGCGCACGAGCCGTGGAGGTGGTGGACGAGGGAAGGAGGAGCCACCGCCAGCGCCGGCTGTCGCCCGGAGGGAGCAGACACCCGCCGCAGGCCATGAGCCGCGGGGCCCCGGGAGCCCGACCGCGGTCCGGGCAGCGCTCCGCCAGCGCCCCGGCCCGCCCGGCCGCAGCTGCGCGCCTGTAGGTACGGCCTGCTCGTCCTCAGTTCCCTCGCCCCCCGTGCGTCGCCCCGGACCCCAGGGGTCCCTGAGGGCGCGCGTGTGTGTGAGCGCCGCTGCCCCGAGGAGCGCGGCCGCACGCGCCCCGGTCCGCGTGTGTAGTCTTTGTGTGCGCGGGTGGGAGGGAGCGCGACGGAGGAGATGCGCCCCCTGCGGGGATCGGCTCCGACCCCCCATCCCGGGCGGAGCGGGAGTAACGGGAGGGGCCGAGCCGCCTCCGGAGCAGCTGTGCCTCCGCCCCCTCCTAGGGCCCGGGCCGGCGGGGGGCGGTGGGGGGCGCAGCGGCCCCCGAGAGGAGGGTCCCTGGCTGGGCGGAGGGCCCGGCCTTTTCCCTGGGCTGTGGGGGCGGGGAGGGCCAGCCTGGAAGGAGGGTGTCCCACCGGAGGGACACCTCCAGACCACAGTGGCGGCCGGCACGCCCTCCATTCGGCCCAGGCCTTCTTTCTCAGGGTCCCCGTTCTCGACCCGCCCACCCAGAGAGCTCTCGGCCGCCCGGGGTAGTGGGGAGGACGCTGAGGGTGCCCGAGGCCGGCGCCTTTAAGAAGGGGCGGTTCGTGCCCTCCATTCAGGCCTTTCGGCCTCGGCCATTGATGAACCTGCGGGCTGCGCGGGCCCGGAACCGCGCCAGCCCGTGGGCGGAGGCAGGGACCCCACGAAGTGAGGTCTTCAGGGGGAGACGTGTACAGGGACTGGCCCCTGGGGAGCTGCGCGGGTGGCGGGGGGCGGCGGGGGGGACCGGGCATCCTCAGGAGTGACTGTGAACATGTTCAACCAGAATCTGTGTTGACGCCGAGCTGGTGCAGGGGAGAGCCCCTGGGTCTGGAGTCAAATCTGGGTGAAACCCTACCCCTGCCCTTTGAGCCTCCATTATCTACCCTGTAGAACGGGAAGGGTGCTGCCCGCATCCCCGCTGGGTGACCTGCAAGAATTGCCCCCTGCAACACAGGTCCCGAGTATGAGGTGAATGAGCACCCTGCCAGGGCAGGAGGAGCAGGGTGGTCATCCTAAGAGGCTTTGGCAGGCTCTGTCGGGGGTGTGATATGAACCCCCTCCAACTCTGCCCCCAGTTTGAACAAATCTCTTCCCTCCCAGCCACCCTGCTCCATCCAGAAGGCCGTTGGTTGGGGACTGACCTAGAACCTTTCAGCTCTAGGAACTTTGAGAGCGGCCAGGCAGTGCGGGAGGCTGGTGTGGGTCAGAGCATTTGTTAGGGTCTCAGGCAGTTTCCCACAAGCTGCTTTCTTCTACTCCTCTCACCTGAGGCATGAATGATGGTGGGCAAGAGTTCCGGAGCCGGCTAGTTGAGTAGCTCTAAGTAATGGAGAGTTAATGCATTTCTTCTTATCCTTATGGTGGAAAACCTGGTAACGTTTCTAAACCCTCCTCCCTATTTAGTGGGTCTCCCCTGCACTCACACCCAAAGGTGGGCTTTTCTAGGGAGTGTTGGAGGGAAGATACCCGCCTCCTCTTGCCAGGGGGAACCTGGGCACCTCCAAGGCTGAGCATTTGGTTTCAAGATGACTCCTGCCTGGCTAAGGGCACCATGCTGTCTCTCATGTAATCTCCACAACAACCCTGTGGGGTTTGTACTACTATTATCCCCATTTTACAGAAGGAAAGAGATTCAAGGAGGTGAAATGACTTGCCCAAAGTTACTCAACCAACAAGCCAGGCCTCCAAACCACTTCTCTCTGACAAGAGCCTGGTTCTTACCTCTTGTACTGTCTACCTATCCTGGATTGCAGGGAATTGGGGGTTTAGGTGTCTCATGGCTGCTGGTCCAGTCTTGAAGGCTATCTCACTTCCACATGGGACTTGGAAGGGTGGTGGCAGCTTTGGAGTCTGGGGAAGTTTCTCTTCCCCCCCTCCCCTGATTGGGTCTGTTTTTATGGCTGTACTCTGTCCCAGGGGAGAGCAGATGTGACTTCTCAACATTTGGAGGAGGCCACAGCCCGCACCTGTTTGGGCACAGGTAGACAGGGCGTCAGTATGTGGGAGCACAGCATCTTTTGGCTCCACTGGGTGAAGCAGGGTTTGGGCTCCATTCGCCTGGTACCTCCAATCCTCTGTATGTAGGGCTTCCTGGGTCCTATGGTGGGTATAACACTCATCTGGTCTGGTGAAGGCAGGCCACAGCAATGTGCATTGTGGAGGAGTTGGGGGGGAGGGTGTCGAGGCAGGGACAGTATAAAGGGGGCGTTCCCAAGGCCCCTGTGGACTTGGACCCTGCCAACTATTCGGGCAGAGAAGTGGAGCAGGTGGGGCAATGGGTACTAAAAGACTCTGAGCTGAGGACAAGCAGGGGCTGGAGGAAGAGGATGTGTTAGAACTTGGATGTGGGGAGTTTGAGGTGCTGGGTATCACAACCAGGCAGGGAGTTTGATTGTTCAGAGAAAGGCTCAAGGAACTTTTACAAGCATCCACAATGCCCAGAGTTCTGGGATATTCAGAACCCAGGGGAGGCATGGTACGTGTGTCATGAAAAAGTCAGAAGGCAGACTGGTGGGCTGAGTGGTAGGGGTTGAGGGAGGCATTCTGCAAGTTTGGGGGGCTGAGTCAGGGGCTAGGGAGGTCTGGGAGAAGTATGAATCAAGGCCAAAGCGAGATCCATGACACTGGGAGGGAGGGAGAGGCTGCAAGGCTCAGGCCAAGGCTGGAGAGGGCGTAGCTCTGCTCTGCAGCCCCAGGAGAGGAGGGTAAGGCTAGTGCAGCTACAGCCATGCCAGCCTGCTCTCCATCTGCAGAGCCTGCCCAGGAACTGTCCAGCACCAGGTGCTCCTGAAGGAAGATGGGATTTCCTCCTAAGCCCCCAGGCCCTGGTGCAGTTTATGGTCCTGAACCCCACTTGTGCTTATATGACATCTAATCCCTGCAGGACCCAGCTCTGGATTGTCCTGCCTGTCAGAGTGCCCTCTCCTCTGAGGCGAGACATCTCTATTCCTGAGTCGGGGGCTAGGTAACCCAAGTGTGTCCTCAGAGGGAGAGCGCTCCAGGGCTGTTTGGACTAGCGTCTGCTGCAGAAGGGGCAGATCTGAGCCTGGCTCCACATTCCCCTCTCATCTGTCT